TTATCAATCAAGAAAATACCCACCACAGACCAGCCTGAAGGAGACACTTCAATGTACGCTTCCAATGGCCTTTCCTGTCTTCTCACAGCATCAAACCTCAGCTGCTTCCTATGATTACTTCAATCCTGCCACCTGCATGCCATCAAAAACAGTACCCTGTGGGACTCTTAAACATTACCAAGTTTGGTTTGCCAGTTTGAGATGCTGCCTCAGACCCCAGCTTCTGTGTGGTGACCACAGAAGATTTTGCTCCTTCCCACCCCAAGTCAATAATGGTTTCTTTTTTTTTATTGAAAAAGAACTTTATATACAATAAATTCCCATCAATTTCCTTTCCCCCAATTCTTCTCAGATCCTTCCCAACAACCCAACTCCAAACCCTCTATTCCTCTTCCTTTAGAAAACAAATAGCTAAACAAAGAAATAAAACAAGAATTTATTTTCAAAAAATAAACACACACACACACACACACACACACACACACACACACAACCAGAAACCATAATATATAGGCAAAAGATAAAGACAAAAACAAAAAACCCTAAACAAAATAATGTTGAGAGAAAAAATCTACTAAAATAACAAGTTTTGTTTTGGTGTTGGTCCTTAACTGATGGACTTAGGAATCTACCCTTAAGTATGGTTAATATACCCTACCCAATTAGACACAACTGAAGAAAATAAAATTTTCCTTTACAAGAGGGGGTCAACTGAAGATAGCTTCTTGGTTAGGCGTGGGAGCAGTGTCTGGGGCCTCGTCTGGCTTGAACCCGGACAGGTCCTGAGAGTGCTAAATGAGGCTGACCTCTTGTTAATCAGAGCTGATTTTCTAGTCTCTGCTAACTAGTTTCAATTGTTCCAGCAAAGCAAAGGTTTTGCTTCTACATATTCTTAACCCAAACTATCACACAAATGGCCCGATGGAGATTTTGCTTCCCTTTGAAACTTGACAAGCCAAGCCTGCAATTGTCTGCACCTCTCTCAACATTCCAATCTTCCAAGATGATTAAGTTCTGAGAACTCAATAGCCCTTTTGAACACTAAGCTCCAAAATCCTTCCTGAGTCCTTCCCAAAGCCATCAACACTGTGATGATGACGACGAAGAAGAAGAAAAAGAAGAAGCAACTTGAGAAGAAAGGTGTTTGTTTGGTTTACAAGTTATAGTTCATTGGGAAGCCTAGGAAGGAACTCAGGGCAAAAACTGAAGCGGAGGAGCCCAGGGAGGAATGCTGTATACCGACTGGTTTTGCTCATGTATCTGTCTTATATAGTCCAGGTCCACTTGCCCATGGATGACACTGCCCATAGTGGCTGGGCCTCTTTACATTAATCGTTAATCAAGAAAATGCCTCCACAGACATGAACAGACTAGCCCTATGGAGGCAATAATCCTTGGCTACATAGGAAGTGGGAGGTAATCTTGGCCTACAGGAGACCAGGTTTGGGTGTGGGTGTCACATTGAGGTCTCATTCTCAATTGAGGATCCTTCTACTCATGTGACTCTAGTTTGTATGAAGTTGAAAAAAAATCAACATACTTCCTGACTTGATAAGTATCTACAGAAACAAACAAAAAACCCAACCCAAACCAACCAATCAATCAAAAAAAAAAAAAAAAAAAAAAAAAAGAAAACCAAAACCAAAAACTAAAAACACTGAACCTTTTTAAAGGATCACTAGAACTTTACCAGAATATTCATTAAATACTAAACAAAATTTTAGAGTATAGTTCTGCCCAATATTGCCCCTACCAAAAATATCTAATTGAAAAGTTCTTCCATTGCTCTTAGTTTTATAAATGGATTGGCCTAGAATTCCTTTTTAGGTGTCCCCCAACCCACCCCAGACCCTACCCTGCTGCCACGGCCCATGTTCTGTATCCTAGGCTGACCTCTAACTTGCTAAGTAGCCAAGGATGATGTTGAACTCCCATTCTTCCTGCTTTCACCTCCCAAATGTTGGGCTTACTGGTGTGAGCCACCATGCCTGATATACATCATGCTGAGGTAATAAACAGGATTTCCCCCACAAGCTACACAAGCATTTTACCATTTGAGTTAGATCCTCGAACCCTAGCTTGTTTCCAGAATAAAACAGACATTCCGAATGAAAGCACAGCATAAATGGGCCATTAGCTTTCCTCTTTATTCCACTCCATTAATTTTGTCTGCACAGCCATGGAAAACCACATGCTTATTATTGAAGGCCGGCCTCACATTACCGTAATTATCAGCGCCAATATGCTAGATGTAAAGAACATTAACTTTAAAATTGCACAAGAGACATGGTCAGGAATTTTTTTTTTTTAGCTTCACCAGGACTTATTATGCTATACAGCAAGAAGCTTGCAATTAAGCACTGCATTTGGTTAGTTAATTTGGGGAGTCAAAGCTTAACAACACATTAATGACACAAGACAGCAAGTCCAAAGGCTATCTCATACTCAGAGTGTCATTGATGGTGATAAACTGCTTCGCATGACATTCCTACGCATACTACACAGTGCCTGTAGAGGAAGGGGTTACTTTAACCCGAGTCAAAGTCTTTCACCTAGGCTATAGGAAATCCTTTTCCAGAAATACTTTTTTTTAGCGCTGGCTCCACAAAAACTTACTATTGGTCAAGAGTGGATCACATGATCATGCCTAACCCAATCACTGCAAGAGAAAAATGATTGCAGGATTGCTTTAGATCTGTATTTCCCGGCCCTGCCTGTGTCTTGACGTCACCTGAAAGCCTTGTAAAGAAAATTACAATGCCTGGCAACAGTGTGTCTCCAATATTCCCCAGCTGTTCCAAATGTATCCTCGAAGAGAATGCTATTGTATCAGCCTAATTAAGTTTCGCTACTGCCTGCACCCTAGGGGCAGGCCCATTCTGTGGGGGAGGAAGAGCAAGCAAACATACTGAAACAAAACCCAGGCTTTGATGCTGAGGGTGCAGAATGGGTCTGCAGTCACATAACTGGGCAAACTGAGGCAAGAGGATATCTTGTGCTCAAGAGTTACAGACCAGCCTGGGCAACCCAGCAAGACTTGTCACAAAACTAACGCAAAACAAAACAAAAATCTGACTGATAAGGATAAGGTTGGGGTCTAACTGGTTAGTTTGTCATATGGAAGTACTTTGACACATTTCAGTTTCCAAGGTTTCTGTGGCAGTGCCCTCCTCCTAGGTAAAAATCAGGAGTTGTGCCACCTTTATTGCACACTAGTTTTATATCACGGTATGCAGAAGGCTCTAACTTTCTTGCTTAGTGCTCTGCCATCCTGGAAGCCAGGAATAATGTATACACTCTGCTTGATGTTTCTAGCCTCTAGCACTCAGGAGTTTCAATATTTATTGCATGAATGAGTGAGAGAAGACATGAATTAATAGGAAATGCCTAATATTAAGTATTTACCCAGCATTTATATACCAGGTATTAAATAAAGCCAGGCACACTGGATTCTTTACTTGCGCCTTATAAAGTAGGAGCCATTCTTATCTTTTGCATATATATATATATATATATATATATATATATATATATATATATAATCTCACAGACCCTAATTACTTGTCCAAGGTCACACACCAGAGAGGGACAATCATGGGACTGGGCCTCATAGAGAAGAAATCACAGAGTCCACTGAGTTCATCCTTTTCACCCAAGAGGGGAAAGGGTGGTTCATTTGTGCAAGAGATGGAGACCTCTCCTGTCTATCGTAACCCAAAAGAGGGCTGCAAGACTGTTACCATGCTCAGAAACACACACACACACACACACACACACACACACACACACAAGCAGGCACACACGCACACATGAGAAAGAGGTCAGACATATATGTGATATATATACATACACACACATATAGATATCTATACACATATATAGAGGTAGGTAGATATCATCCTTGGATTTTATAGCTGGCAGAGAAAGAGACAGTGACCTGTGACATGAACATGGAAATGAAAAGAAACAAAAGAATCTACCCCCCACAAAGGTTAGAGCTTGGAGTGGAACTTTCCGTTCATGAACAAGAAAAACCAAAATACTTCAGCTCTGCTTTACACGTGACAAGCAATTACCTGTGCTTCAGAGCTGCCCCTGCCATTTGCAGAGAACACTACCATCTACTGCCCACATCCCTGAAGAATAGAGTTCCAATTCTGGCTTATGGACTATATTATCTTAGATACAAGTCATCATTTGGCCATTTTCCTTAAACTTGTCCCTCCTCTTCCTAGCCCCCCCACCCCAAATCTGGCCAGTGGAGCCATCACTCACCCAGCTCCTTACGCTAGAAAACCTGGAGGTCTATCAAGATCCCTCCCTCCCCTCCTTCATATCCAATTGGCAACTGAGTTTTATGGATTCAATTTCATAAATCTGCAACCTGTTCATTCATTCATTAAATATTCATTGTGTGCCAGGAGTATACAATGATGGACTGGATGAGACACCCCCAACCTCCAGCTTCAAGCAGCTTGCCATCTTAATGGGGGCATCTTGCAAAAGAACAACCCATTCTACATCAGAGCAGTAAACGCAAGAAACAGGTAAGCAAACTGCTGAAAAGAACACTGGAGGAGTATATGATTCCTCTAGGGAAGACTGGGGCACGGGGTGTTCTCTTGGAAGTGCCCAAGTGGAAAGATGTGTGCCTTGTACCAGGTGTGGGGAGGAGTGGGGAGGGGGGGGCGAGTGCAAATTTCTGTAAACAAGAACAGACTAGTGTGGGAAAACAGGCAGTTCACTAAAACTGCAGGGGTTAACCTCATTGCCGCTGTGCTCTGCTTTCCGGCCAGGTCTTGACCCAGTAACTACACTGTCCAGTGGCTTTGCACTCAAGAAGAGACCAGTCAGCACCGCCCTCTCCGTCGCTGAAGGTCTATGCTGCAAGTCTCCCATCCTGGGTCATTCATTCAGGAAGTATTTACTGAGGACCCTCTCTGTGCAGGTACCCTGTTAACAGCGGCCTCCGTGGTGCGTCTTTCTACTCTTCAGGAGGTTTTGAGCCACTGAAGACAGACCGTGAGGGAGCAATTCGAGAGTGCTGGAAACTGACACATAAGATGTTAACGACCCTTTAAAGACCCATCTGCCTTGCTGCCCACTGCTCAACTTCGGGCCTCCAGGCCTGCTACCTGCTGGTCTTTTCGGAAGGATGACCGAGTGTTCTATTCACTGCCCGGAATGTCTCCTCCCCTCGCCCAAGGCCACTGCCCGACTCCGGCCAGCTCCAACACCGCGTCCTTCTCGCGTGGCCATACTCATCGGCGCGCAGCTCCGCTGAGAGGGCTGACGCGCGCGCGCGGCCAGGCAGCTCCTGGGGGCAGACGCCATCCAGCCTCCCCGGCGCCTGGTGACTACCCCAGAGCAGCCATCTCTCTAGGAGACCCCCACGCTCCGGTCGGAGAGCGCGCGCCAGGGGTGACGGCCCCGCGCACACGTGGGCGCAGCCTGGAAGCCGCAGGGACCCTAGCACATGGGGACGAGAGGGGACGTTCTGCAGGAAGACCTCGGTCGGGGGGTCTTGCTCTCCGCGCGCACCCCTCCCGGAGCCCCAGAGGGGGCAGGCGGGGACGAGCCTTGGCGGGGACGCGCGCTTCCATCGCCACTACCGAGGTCCCCGCAGTGGCGCGGGGTGGCCGGAGGAGGGGCCGAGGGCGGGGCGGTCATAGCCTCCGCCACTCCCGGGCCCCCCCGGTGGCGGAGCGCCGCCTTCCCGGCCGTCCTCCCCTACCGCACGCGCTCCACCCGCCCCGGAGCCTCGCCCTCCGCCACGATGAGCAAATGAGCGCGAGCGAGGGCATGAAATTTCAATTCCATTCTGGGGAGAAAGTGCTGTGCTTCGAGCCTGACCCCACCAAGGCGCGTGTGCTGTACGATGCCAAGGTGCCTCCGCGGGAGGGACAGGGAGGAGGCGCGGGTCTGGGCCCCAGGGATGGGAGGCAAAGGGGCCAGCGGCTCTGAGTCTTGGACAGCCACCAGGGTGCGCTTCGGCCTGCGCGGAGCGGCCGGGGACGACAGGGGACGCTGGCGAGATGCATTACCCGCAGAACTGCCCTAACTAGGAAGGATCCAGGACACATCCGTTTCTACTTCCGCTTCCGGCCGTGTTGCGTCGCTGACGCGCGGTTGCTAGGCCGAGATGGCGCTTTGGTCGCTGGGCGCCAATTCGTGCGTCTGGTGTAGGAGGACTGTCGCCTGAGGCCTCTGCTTTTGCGATAAGTCTCTCCTTGTCCGACGGGGCTCCGCGCCCCGTGGGCTCCCTAGAGGACACCCTGACCAATTGACCCACCCATGTCCTCAACCCTGGCATCAGATATTGGCAGCTGTCAGCTGTCGATTTCCTGGTTCCAGGGACCCTAGAGTTTAGGATCATTGACATTTAACTCTCACCCTGGGGGGTGGGGTGGGAGGAACTCAAGGTTGCTCAGTCACTTTGACATTTGCGATTTCTAAAGGATTTGTAGGAGAGCAACAGAGCTAGGAAAGAATCGAGTGTCGCCTGTATTCAGCTCAGTCAGCCTTGGGGCTGAGCTTAAATCTTCCAGTGCTTAAATCTTCCAGTAGTCAATTTTTAAGTGGAGGGCAGGAGTGGGCACCTAAGTGCTCCGGAGCCCCAAGAGGGTGAAAACCAGCGCGCTGGGGGTCGGGGCGAGCGTCAGTGTTTCCAGCCACCAAGGCGAAGTCCTTGGTGGCGGAGGCTGCTTGGAACAGCCCCAGGTGCGTCTTTAGCGATGTTTAAATGGTGCTGTCCTGTGGCCCATCCCAAGATCTGGGCTGGCATATGTATGTTTGGTGTCTCCTGCAACTCTTATCACTGTTTAAATTCCATTCCCATCCCTCCAGCCTACTGTGTCTCTGGGGGACGGAAGGATTTGCTGTTTCATTTGTACCAGAAGTCCCCTCAGGGTATGAAGGGCTATTAAGGGGATGGGGGAAGAGTTGTGGAAGTCTCTTTACTCGCTTGGGTGGACACTAGACAAGGCAAGGCCAGGGTGACTACAACTCCCAGAGGTCTCAGGGCTGATCTTTCTAGTCTGGGTCCTCGCTAATGACAAATATACCGACCAATGGCTTCAGAAGCTTCACCCGGTCTCAAACTCAAGAGACCAATCGTGGGTTGGTTGGACGGATGTTTCCTATTTTGAGGTAACCACTCAGGCAAAAGAAAAAAAAATGTTGAAGAATGTTGCAACCTTGCTCTCGATCTAAAAAGGGGACGATTTTTTGTTTTTCCTTTAAAAAGGGACTGTAATCTACTTTTTTTTCTTAACCTATCTTATAATTTTTGGTTTGTTGTGCCACTCGTGAGCAGTATTTCCTGGTTTCAGATCGTCGATGTTATTGTCGGGAAAGACGAAAAGGGAAGAAAGATTCCAGAATATCTGATACATTTTAATGGTTGGAACAGAAGGTGAGTGAACTTGTTACAACCATACTAAATATTAATCGCCTTTATAGCATACTAATTTTGTAACTAAGTTTTAGAAACACTTGTAGAAAAGTTTAATTTCCTGCTTCTGCTTTGTTCGTAAAGCTTTCGTATTCTGAGGCTTAATACTTTAAAGTCTGTTATATTGGGGTTCCCTGTGAATAATTACTGGAAATCCTGGTAACTATAACTTATTGACGCCCTCCTGGTGATTTTGAAATCTATATATAGCTTTCTAAAATGTCAGCAACTCTGGGGCACGCCTTCACAGTGCTTTTTATTTGTTTAAGAATACTGACTTTTACATCCTCTTCCTTTTTTCAACTAGTTGGGATAGATGGGCAGCTGAAGATCATGTGCTTCGTGATACAGATGAAAATCGGCGGTTACAGCGTAAATTGGCCAAAAAAGCAGTAGCTCGCCTGTAAGAATACAAACACTTTGATGGAAGTGTTAATTCAGTATGTTTTTTTTTTTTTTGTACTGTTTTGGACTTTTATGATACAAAAGTCATAAAGTGACAGATTTCAGTAATCTTAAATATTTAAAAGTAAACGAAGAGTTTCTGTAGTATTCTGAAGAATTCTAGGTGTTTCCCAGAATGATTGTTATCAACATTGCCATTGTGTTTTCAAGTTTGATTTAATAATTATTGTTTTTCATGTCCAGTGTGGACTCCAACTCCTGTACCAGTCTGAAATTTTATTTTATTTGTGTTTATCCTTTTCAGGAGAGGCGCAGGAAGAAAGAAGAGGCGCTGTCGGTTGCCTGGTGTAGACTCTGTCTTAAAAAGTGTGCCAATTAAAGGAACAACTCAAAATGACGAAAACTGTGAGTGTCTTCATTTTATTTTTCTCAGCTAAAACCATTTTCATGTAACCTTTTTAAACCTCAAGATTGAGAGAAAGAGTCGCTGAAAAGAAAGACAGGAAAATAGTGCAAACTCATAATGTACACATGTTCTCCAGTTTAAGATTCTGTTGACTTTATGATGGTATGCAAATATACTATTTTCTTGTTCCAATTTCAGTACAATATGCAATAAAATGCATGACATATTTAACACTATGGTAAGGTAAGCATTGTTTTGATGAGTTTGCCCAATTGTCAGCTAAAGTATGTGTTCTGAGTACATTTAGAGTAATCAGCTATGATATTCAGTAGGCTACCTGTATTTTCATCAGCACTTGGTTTATTTTAGCAGTCAATATGATCAGTCAGCATGTCAGTATAAGACTTGGATAGAGTCTTACCAGTGACTGCCTTCATCTCAGCCAGCCAGCCCTCACAGATCCTTTCTCACAGTCCATTTTCTTCTTGATACCTCCAGGGCCTTGCCACCACTTATGAATCCAACAGTGAACCGTAGGATCCTAGCTGGTGAAACACTTTCAGATCATTAGTTCGTGTGATTTTTGTATCCATTGAAATTGGAGTTATGTTTATCAAAATAAGTTTCTGTTCAGAAAGGTACAGTATTTGTGTTTAGGATTTAAAATATATGCAGAACTACAGACATTCTTCTTAGTCAAGTGCATGCACCATCTAAAAATTTGTAAATGTAAGAATTGTTTGTCAAAGTATAGCATGTGAGTTTGCCTGATATTTTTGTTTTACATAGCAATAAGCAGTACCTGCCATGACAGCTGTGGAGAAAAGCATGAAGAAATAAAAGAACATCGTCAACGCCGTTTTAAAGTAAAGACTAAAGTGGTACACAAAGATTTTATTGTACAAATTTGTCTTTGATATATATGGTAGTGGCAAAATCCTCAGGTTAGGAATTCATTTCAAACCAATATTATGAATTCTCTGTGACATTTTTAAAAAGACAGACTTTGTTTATAGTCACTGTGTGAGCATCATTTACTTTTTGTACCCACAGTGTGTTTCCACAAATTCTACATCTTTTTAAAAGTAAGATTCTGAACTATATTTTTATAATGACTAATTTTTAATGGTACATAACAGAGATTTGTTTCTACTTGCCTCCAAATTGGACATAAACCCCAATGGTAATCATGAATGAGAAACAAGTGAATTTGCAATGCTATGAAAGACACTTGAACATGTGGTGTAGTATCTTTATGTCTTTGTCCTTTAGTAGAGGACATGTGGCATGATGTGACTATTACTAAACTAGCTTGATTGCATAGAAGACTCTTACATGATAGCCTCTCCCACTGTTCTCATTAATTAAAAATGAAATTGTGGTATTGCAGAAAAAAAAAGGATTGTCACTGCGCTCAAGAAAGGACATGGACGAAAGAACAATAACGATAGATATCCCTGAAGTTCTTAAGAAGCAGCTTGAGGATGATTGTTATTATATCAACAGGAGGAAACGGGTATGCCAGAGGAATAGATTGTTCAGGATGCTGCATTTTGTGGTCACACCACAGAGGGGTGGTAGTTTCATTTCCAGTTTTGTACTTGGTCCAGTGTTGTTGGTTGTTTTACTTTTAGCTCTTTTGACTCTTTGCAGGCTTGCCACTCAGCTCCCAAATAAATACACACACGGAAGCTTTTTCTTTCTTATAAATGTCTGGCCTTAATTTCACTTATTTCTAGCAGGCTTTTCTTAAATTATCCTGTCTACCTTTTGCCTCTGGGCTTTTATGTTTCTCTGTTTCTGCATATCTTCCTTCTTACTCTGTGGCTGGCTGTGTAGCTGGGTGGCTGGCCCCTGAAGTTCACCTTTTCTTGCTCCTAGATCTCTCCTCCCAGATTTCTTTTCCAGTGTATTTGCCCTGTCTGTCAGCTCCACATATCCTTTCTCCTGCCTTGCTATTGGCCTTTCAACTCTTTATTAGACCAATCAAGTATTTTAGACAGGCAAAGTAACACAGCTTCACAAGTGTTAAACAAATGCAACATAAAAGAATGCAACACATCTTTGCATCATTAAACAAATGTTCCACAGCATAAACAAGTGTAACACATCTTAAAATAATATTCCACAACAGTTCAGTTCTAAAATTGACTAATAACAGTGCTGGGTTCTTGTGTAACTTAAGACTTTTATGCCTTATGCTGTCTATTTGAACTCCTCGGGGAGCTTTCCAGAATTCTGATACATGGGCTTCAACTAAGGTTAGGTTTTAAACTGGTAATGATTTCTTGCCATTAATCCCATCACTCAGAAGGCAGAGGCAGGTGGAACTTTGTGAGTTCAAGGCCAGCCACTTCTACATAGAGAGTTCTAGGACAGATAGATCTAAACACTGCACCATGTCTCAAAAAGAGAGGTGATAAGATAGATAGACTAGGATTTAATTGGTGAGATAGGGGCACCTCTCTTGGCTTTGAGTGGTTTTCTCAAATTTTGAGAAGAACACTAAGCCTGAGGATCACTACTTCCATGTATCCAAAACAGTAAGACTATAGTAGTATGCGAGTATGATCACTGGAAGGAAGGATTATCAAAGAGTTCCAAGACACATTGAAGAAGATCTTGAGCAGAATTGATATAACAACAGCTATTTCTACTTGGAAAATGTGTTTGATTATAATGGGATGTGTGTATGAGATACTTGTATTTTTTCTTGATAGTTAGTGAAACTTCCATGCCAGACCAACATCATAACTATTTTGGAATCCTATGTGAAGCATTTTGCTATTAATGCCGCCTTTTCAGCCAATGAGAGACCTCGTCACCATCATGCCATGATGCATGCGCACATGAATGTGCACTATGTCCCAGCAGAAAAGAAGTGAGTCACTTTCTGGTTTTGTTGTTATTGTTAGCTGTTTTGTTTAGTTTTGGGGTATGTATGTGGGGGTGGATATGGGGATTGAACTTAACCCTCATGCATGCTAGGAAAATGTTCTTCCCCTCATCTATACCCTCAGCATTTTCTTTGTATATTACAGTTGAGAAAAGGGATCCTTTTCTCTATTCAGTTTTATTGAATTTATCTCTTATTTCATAGCCGATTTGCTGATTATTCATTCAGTTGTCAGTGTGATATGAAACTATTGTGACTTTTGTGAAGTGTTTGCTAATTCCAAATGAGAACTGGCTTGATTGTGCATTACTTTGTCATCAAGATCAGTATTTTCAGGGATACCACTTTGGACAATAACTGTCTACTTGCGGAAGCAGAATAGGCAATGAGAACTATATCAAATGTTGCTTAGCACTGGTCTTTTGGTTGTGAGCCTAGACTTTAATGGCTGAGCTATCACTCAAGTCCAGCACTAGTCTTTTTAAGAAATGAATTATTGTGCGTTTGAGTGCATGTGTACCGTGGCATACATTTGAAGGGCAGAGGATACCCTCTGGTGTAAGTTCTCACCTCTGCCTTATTAAGTAGTGCACTGCTGTATATATCATGCTGGCTAGCCTTTGAATTTCCAGAGCGTTGCCTTTCTTTGTATCTTGTCTCCCCACAGTAATTCTGGGATTACAGATTTGTGCAATTTGTACATTACTGCATCTAACTTTTTAAGGGGATGTTGGAGATCCAAACTCAGGTTTTCAGGCTTGTACAGCAATCACTTTTTCCCACTGAGTCACCTCTCCAGCTCCAAACAATTCTTTATTTTAATCAGAATGGAGTTTCTCAAATCCTACTAAACCCTCATGATTGGCAGGAGCGGCGTAAGGGAGGTTATTGAAACAGAAGCCAGCAGCACTGGGCTGCTGGGATGCCTCATGTTGTATTAAACCTGTTCGTTTATGTATATGGATACATTAAGTTATTAGCATGCTGCCTGCATTTTATATTAGGATCTATATATTAGGATCTATATTTTTTACTATTAGCATGTATAGCTTGTGTTTTCTCTTTTTATATGTAAGTGAATATATAAGGTTTTAGAAATCTGCCCTCAGCTGGGTGGCATGGACCTTTAATCCCAGCACTCAGGAGACAGAGGCAGGTGGACCTCTGTGAGTTTCAGGCTATACTGGTCTACATAGTGAGTTACATGCCAGCCAGTGCTACATGGTAAGACCCTGAGTCAAAGTAAATAAATAAAGATAAAACTGCCTTCTTAAAATGTACACCTCCACTGTGAAGTTTGAAAAATGCCTATGACTTTACTGAGTCTCTGATCTCTAATCTTCTTTCCCAATCCTCCTAGTGTTGACCTTTGTAAGGAGATGGTAGATGGATTACGAATAACCTTTGATTATACTCTCCCATTGGTTTTGCTCTACCCATACGAACAAGCTCAATATAAAAAGGTTACATCGTCTAAATGCTTTCTTCCTATTAAGGAAAGTACCACCACAACTAATAGGTGAGTTAGCCAATATGGAAGTTCGCCTTCACCCTCAGATGTCAGCACTTCTGACATGTCTAACTTCTTTTTGGAACTATTTGATCTGATGCCACGGGGGCCTGAATGTTTAGAGGAAAGAAAATGTAGTGTTCTTACTGGTGCTTTCTTTTTATTCGTGAGTTAGCTGGATCGACCATCACTCACATTCTCATGGTTGTGAAAGATTTTCCCAAGTAACGTTCCAGGGTAACCCAGAATGATGGGACATGCCTATCATTCTAGCATCCAAGAGGCTGAGCCAGGAGGACTCCTTTGAATTTGGGGACAGATGGTCTCTAGAAGGAGTTCCAGGCTGGTCAAGACTACATAGCAAGTCCAGGACAGACGAGAGATTCCTGAGTAGATAGAACTTTATCAATGGATTCTGAGCAGCTGTCCCATCTTTCAGAAGGCAGTAAAGGGGGTAAAGGCAACATGGGCCAGAAGCGTGGAAAGTGGAGGTGCAACTGACATCCTTCAGTTAGGTGTTAGGTGATTTGGGTCAGCTTTTACTGAGCCTCTTGCCTTTACATCTGTAGTATGGAATGAGTGTCCATCTCCCTGGTGGGAAACAGTTCATGATATTGTTCACAAGGGGCCAGGAACTTTTGGCCCTAAGTATAGGTTAGTTCCCTGTTTTTCTTTCATTACTGCTTTTCTTCTGTCTGTGCCTAAGCATGCTTTGTTCTGTGTTCTGGCTGGGGGTGTGAGGGTGGATCCATCCTCACCTAAAGTCTTTTCCCTCATTCTGTCTAAGGCACCCTTCCATGCCCTTTCCTCTCTCTTCTCCTCCTGAATGTTGTGCGAGAGACTAAAAACCAGTACTTCCCAAGTCTAGCTTGGTGAGTGAGTGAGTTTAGCTGGGGCTAGTTATAGGAACACACACTACTTATGGCTAACCACTCCTCCATACGCAGGTATTAACTGCTTAAGTATCCTCACAAAGAGGAGGGCTCTGTGTGTCTTCTGAGACCTACTACCTTTCACAAGGGATTGCTAGGAGTTATGAGCATCTCATGTGGGTCATCACAGCACCTCTGATTCCAAGGTGACATTGATCATGTCATGCCCAGAAGACCAAGTTTTCTAGCACTAAGAGTAGCATCCCTCTATGTTAAACCACTTAGCATCTGCTCTTATCTACTGTTATCTTGCTAGACTTTCATTTTCTGTGCCCTGCATTAGCTGCCCCCCCCCCGGCTGGGTCACTTTCACCTCAGGCAGGAGCCCAGCAAAACTCACTAGGATGCTCAGTTGAAGTCATGAATGGCTTACTCCACATCTGATGATTCTCAGAGTCTGAGGTAGACTTTGTTTGACATGCTTGTGCCATTCTCACATCCTGGCAGGTTTTACATTTTAAAAATGGTGTGTGATAGTCTTTATTCCCTAGACCAGAGTTTCTCTGTCCCGGGGCTTATCCTGTGTGATGTAGGACACTTAGCAGTATCCCTGGTCTCTGTCTACTACACAGCAATATATCTGCTTTCAGTTTTGACAAGCCTATAATCACCAGACACTGGCCACTTTTCTGGGCTAGGGCCAACCCCCCCCCCACTCCCAAAAGCTCTAAAACATGTAGATGAGGTATTCTAGTCTCTAATAAGAGCATGCCTTGCTGTGACCTCACCTATTTAGGGACTTTTTAAGAAAATGTGTGTTTTAGTGTACTTGGAGATACAGATGTGTGCTCCACCAAGCCGGTTTGTGAACCCTTTAGGAGGCCTTGCATAAGCCTTTACAGGCTGCCAGTGACTCTGTCCTTCTTGCCCAGGAGCCAGGAGGAGCTGTCTCCTAGCCCACCTTTGTTGAATCCATCCACACCACAGTCCACAGAGAGTCAGCCACCTAGTGGTGAACCAGCCACCCCCAAGAGGCGCAAAGCTGATCCAGAAGCCCTGCAGTCTCTAAGGCGGTCCACGCGCCACAGCACCAACTGTGACAGGCTGTCTGAGAGTAGCTCCTCACCTCAGCCGAAGCGCCGGCAGCAGGACACATCTGGCAACATGCCAAAGCTATTTCTGCACTTGGAAAAGAGTGAGTTTTTTCTAAGAGTCCTAGGCTGGGGAAAGCCACTTTTTCCTTTGTTTCTAAGCCTCCCTAAATGTGTAGAAAATGCATACTGTTCTTGGGGCCTCACCCAAGTGCTTTAAAGCTACTTCTTTAAAGAAGAGGAAACCATCCGTAGGAACACCAAGAAGCAACTGCCTTGGATAGCTCTGAGGGTTGGGCAGGCAGGATTGGGTACTGTGTTAAGGTTGCTTTTCACCTTCCCTCTCTGCTATTTCTTGTGAGCCACTGGAATTATTGGAATATTCGAGATTAATGGTGCTAGTAGAGTGTTAGTTACATTTCTGTTCCTGTTTTCAAAACTTACCTGTAAAACATCAGTTTGAAGAAAGTGTTCAGATCACATGCTGGTTTTATCAGAGTTTTGGAGATATAATTCACATGCTGTAAAATTCACTACTCAAAATGATTTTTTGGTGTAGTTAGAATTGTAGCGCCATCTCCAAAATCAGTTCAGTTATTTTCATCACAGAACAAAAGAAACCTTACATGCATCAGCAATCATTTATTCATCCTTCTCCCACCTCCCCAGGAAACTACCAATCTACTTGCCACTTTTGATTTGCCTATTTGGGACATTTTATATAAATTGAATAATGTAAAATGTATGATCATAATTAAGTTGATGGAATGGAAACTGGGAAGGTTTAATTAGGAAATAAAATACTTTTTAAAAAGAAATTCTAAAATGTGAAGTGATATCTCCCTGATTTTGTTTTCTTGGCATTTATCTATTTAGGTAAAATCACATATAAAATTAATCAGTTTTTAAGGTTTACTTTTATTTTATGTTGATAGATGTTTTTCCTCCTTATATGTCTGTGTAGCATGAGGTTACTTGGTGTCCTCAGAGGCTGAAAGAGGGTGTTGGATCCCCTGGAACTAGAGTTAGAGAGAATTGTGAGCTGCTCTGTGGGTGTGGGGCAATGAAGAGGATCCAATGCTCTTAACCTCTGAGCCATCTCCTCCATCCAAGTTAATCAGTCTAGTGGCTTTTAATGTATTAGAGTTGTGCAACTATCTCACAGTCAGTTCCAAAACCTCTTCAACTCTCCCCAAGAAACCCCATACCCATTAGCAGTCACCTCACCCACACCTTCTTAGAGCCATGAATGTCCTTCCGTCCCTGGATTTGCCTATTCTTCATATTATATATGAACGAATCACAATATTGTAGCTCTGTGATGGGCCCCCTTCAGCTTAGCATAACGTCTGTCCCTGGATTTGCCTATTCTTCATATTATATATGAACGAATCACAATATTGTAGCTCTGTGATGGGCCCCCTTCAGCTTAGCATAACTTTTTTCAAAGTTGACTCAGTTGAAACATGTATCAGTACATGCTAAAGGTGATATTCCAGGTGCTATCTTTTGTAAGATGAAGGTTATCATATCGTTAAAGTTTTGTAGCTTTCAAGAACTGATTTCAATTTGTGGTCCAGTGTTTATCAGGTACCTGGTGAGTGTCTCTAGATCAGTCACTCTGTAATTTTATGGGTAAATAATTACAACTTTCTCTTTGGCAGAGACGCCTGTGCATAGCAGATCATCTTCCCCCATTCCTCTGACTCCAAGTAAGGAAGGGAGTGCTGTATTTGCTGGCTTTGAAGGGAGAAGAACCAATGAAATAAATGAGGTAGAGTGTTTAATGTTCAACTCCGAGGGTCCTCTTACCCTTTGTGGTTGCTCACAATCCCAAGTTCTGGAAGAATTGTGTTGCTTTGCAAGAAATAGCAGCAAGAAGATAGAGAGGATTCTGCTTAACAGTCTTTTCCTGGTTTCCAATCTGAGAAAACTGCCAGGAATTCAGCTTTACAAGTATAATGACCTTTATCTTAAAGACTATTCAACTGCTGAAAGACTTGTATTTGTGTTGTGTATAACACATCAGTACTTTTATTTCTAAGAGCCTGAGAGTACATATTTTAGGTTTTGTGGGCCATGTAATACTTATTAAGACTAATCGATTGCAAAGTAGCTGCAAACAATACATAAGTGGAATAGATGTTCTGTGTTTCAATAAACCATTATTGTGTATACTGAACAGTATATGATATGCAAGGGTAAAAAATATTGTTTTTTAAAAGGTGACCTATACCAACCTATACCAACAGATCCTTCTTAGGTGGTGGGGTCCTAAGAGAGAGGACCAGGAGATCCAGATGATAAAGAGGATAGAATATGAGAAAATAAGAAAGTTTGTGGTGTCTGTGTGGTGCCACACACACTTATTAAGAAGCACAATGGGACAGAGTCAGTGGAAACTACCATACAATGGACTAAGTTAGTGGGAAGCTAATCAAACAATGTTGCACAAAGGGAGCACAGGGTATCTCAAAAGCAAGCATTCCAGACTAAGTACACAATGGCCTAGAGACTGATAACCATAATCCCCATGTTGGGAAGATTTGAGTTCCCAGGATCTGAAGCCATTCCTTGTTTTAGAGGAGGAATTGTGTTTCTTCTCCATACACCAGGGCCTCAGGAAAAGACTCCCATTTGAGCACTCCAACCCTCAACAAAAAGCATAAACATAGTTTTGGGGCAATATAGAAATAAGTGTCAAACAATTGGATGGGATGTGAGGAGCAGGCTGTCATTGCTGGCTCATTGTCGATATCTGACTCTCCTCCATGAACAGTATCCCTAATAGCTGTCCATTTTAAAACATGCTGGATGTCAGCATTGGGCTAGACTTACTTTAAGCTCATTAACTTGAGTGTCTGAGAGCAGCCTTGCCACTGCAGGCTTTGTGTTAAGGGAAATGGTATTTATTTCTTTCATTACAATTTTTATTCTCTCATGCACTACATCCTGACTGTGCAGTAACCCCTTCCTCCACTCCTCCCAGCCCCTCCTCATACCTTCCCTCTACCCCAAATCAGCTCCTTTATTTTCTCTTTCCCTTCAAAAAAGAAAAAAAGACGAGGCAAAGACCATTTCCATTCAGGTCAGTGCTGCCATCTAGTGGTGAATGGTGAGAAATGGTGGAGTTCAGCAGGCTCTAGGGACTCAAGAATCCATAGAGACTTTAAGGACCTCAAGGACTTCTTCCATTGTGGGTTTTAACCAGGACCATTTATCTAGTTCCTTTATGTCCCTTTCACCTATCATCAGCTGCTAATTGTATTAGGGAAGGGTCTGGATGATGACATTGCTGGTTATGATGCACAGGTGGGTCTCATTGAGAATCTCTCAACTAATTGCAAATGCCTACTCATACCCTCTGATCAGCACTCAGCGCTAAAGCCTGTACTGGCTGACAGGGATGAGAAAGGGAATTTCCATGAAGGCTTCAAGGAGCTGAAGAGAACCTAGTACCTTCATCCTGGGATCCCACAGAATCTATGAACGGCTAGCTTCTTTCTTTCAGGTCGACTGTGCCAGCATTCTGATGTTCTGGTTTTTCTCATAGAGAATTTCCCACAATATTGATTCCTCTAAGTTCATAGATTAGGCACACCCTATAATGAAAGCCGCTTTGCTGATTGACAAAGGTACTGCTGGAGAAATCCATCACAGAGTTCTGAAAGACAGCACTCACATTAACCGAAGCCCCATGTACGTCCATCTATACTTCTGAAAGTCAGAGTAAAGGCAAAGACCAATTACTAGGTTGGAACTCTGAGATGATTGAAATTAGTTTCCATAATGACTCAAAAAGCAAGGAACCAGGGACTCTTGATACTGTAGCTTGTGTTTCCTGTTTAAGGGAAAGGGGCTAAGTGACTGTGGTGGTATGAATACAAATATCCCCAGAGGCTCATGCATTTGAATACTGGCTCCTCAGCTGGCCGTGCTTTCAATGAAGACTATGGAGTCTTTAGGAAGTGGAGTTTGCTGGAGGAAGTGGGCCACCAGGGCCTAGCCTTTAGTTTTTATAGACTGGCTGGATTTCCTGCCTACTCTCAGCGGAGCCAGTCTCATGATCCTGCCAGTATGCCTTCCTCACCATTATGGAATGTCTCCCCAGAAAATAATTGACGCTGAGAAGTTTAAATCCAGTTTCTTCTTAACCTAATCTTAAGTCATTCTAGCCCTTTTCTTTTTTGTAAGCTTTTGTTCATTGGGTTGTAATATGGCTTTATTCTCTCCATATGACTTACTGTTATAAGATTTGGGTATATAGGAGTGTTTCCATTTGAAATACAGAAAGCATTCACCTGGTGTTTTTTTGTAGGTCCTGTCGTGGAAACTTGTGCCTGACAATTATCCACCAGGAGACCAGCCACCTCCCCCTTCATATATTTATGGTGCACAGCATTTGCTGCGATTATTTGGTAAGATTTCCTGTTCTTTATGTCTTCTTTCCAGCTTTCATTTCATTGGCAGCTTTTAATTACATACAGTATTGGCTTTCACTATGATATTTTCATATGTATATAGAATGCATGATGATTATAGTCACTGTAACTTTACTTCTCTTGTCTCAGCAAATTGTTCTTCTATTTCCATGGTGTGTGTGTGTGTGTGTGTGTGTGTGTGTGTGTGTGTACTGCCCCAGCTAATGAGTTTCATTAGAGATGCATATAGGTGCATGGGTGACAAAGGAAGCAAGAGCAATTTGCCAGTGGCTTCATCACTGAAGAAAATGTCTCTCGCTCCTAGCAATCATTCACATTCTGTAGATGCTCCAAGAGAGGTGGGGCCTCATGATGCCCTCAGCTCAAGCAGCCTAATGTTGCTTGGCTCTTGTTTTAACAGTGTTGCTAGATTATGGGCATCTTGTAAGCATCTAGCTAATGTGGATACCTGGTTTCCTCTTCAAAGAAAAGGCATTGGTTGTACCTTATGTATCATAAAAGTTGTGCTTCTAATACTTGACTTCCCAGTCTATCTTTGTTCTGTAACTTACCGTTTGATTATATAGGTGTCAATTTCAGTCCCTGAAGGGGAAAGAGTAACCCAGATGATTCTAGTGGGAGTCCTGTCCATTGTAACCTGCTGCTGATTACAAATGCATTTCTTTTTAATTCAGTAAAACTTCCAGAAATCCTTGGGAAGATGTCCTTCTCTGAGAAGAATCTGAAGGCTTTACTGAAGCACTTTGATCTCTTTCTGAGGTATTTTTATTACCTTGTCACACCTACCTCTGCCAGCAAACATGTGACTTTTCTAGGCTTAATTTTGTCATGCATGGAGGGTAGCTCTGTGGTATTTTCCATATTGTGAGGAGGGGTGTGTTCTGACTGATAGGGTAAGTACAAAGGGAATTTTTGCTTTGTTTGCTTGTTGGTTTTATGTTTTTCTTAGCCTTAATTTTCCAGTTTCTGAGTTGAGGATACTGAGGTATATTTTCATGTCACTAGAAGAATCCAGCTGGATAACCTTGTAAGCAGAAAATGAATTTTTTTTTGATGCAGAAGTACTTGAGATTGCCGTTAATTTTTTACATTTATTTTCCTTCAGGAATACTGTAAACGGTGGCCTTTTTTATTGTATTACCTAAGTTACCTAAAATATTAGCCTAGAACTATAATAAATGATTCCAAGTATGTGCTGACATTTATGAATTCAGAGAACTGGGTGTTGATGTCTTCACCTAGGATAGCAATCATTTTCTTATCCAATAGAATATTTGACCTATGGATCTGATGCTCATCTTTATTCCATTGTACAGTTAGTCCCTCTCTTTCATTCAGATGTCTGTGAGCTGCGTCCTTACCTTGTCCTTCAAGACTGGTCTTCACCTTGCCTCACGTAACTCATCCTAGCTACTAGAACTTAAAGGGAGCCATTTTTCTTTCTATGGGCCCCCATTCTGACTGATCTAGGATATCCAAGAGTCAAGAGTACTCTTAAGAAATTAGTCTGAGACTTTGAAAAGGTATTTTCCTATAGGGATTTTGAATAAGATGTCCTTGAACATAATTAGACTTTACTGAAAACAAATTTTAAAAATACTCTCATCCCTCCTAAATGTCCTTTCAGACAAACCCACAATTCTGTTTAACATAAACCTTTGTGCACTAGAAGCAAAATAGTGCCAAGACTGCAAGTTAGGTTAAGGTAGCCTACAGGTTTTGAAGTATTCCTCATGTACATAGAAGTTAGAACTTGAACAAATAATATAGGTTTTATAAATAAACATGGTAAAATGTTTTAAAAATATAACCAAGGTGTGCGAGGGGAGATTGAGGTTCGTCACAGTCAAAATCTGTTACATGAAATTGTTGACGTGTAAATCAAATAATCCTTCTTAAAAAAAAAATAGAAAATGGCAGCACTTCGAATCGCTGAACTGAACAATGACCTTCAAAAAGCGGTGCAAACATAGAAAAAAGCACGTAGCTGTCAAGTGACTTTTGACAATGGCTCCTTATTTAGAGAGGTGTGCCAGTTGTAGGGATTTGTACAGGTGGAGATAGCAGGCCAAGTGCTTCATGGTAGAATTCACAGCTGCCTTCTTCTTGTCCACATTCTCTTGGAACTTGTTTTGTTTTCTGTCTTGTGGTTTTGTTTTCTTTGTTTTGTTGCTGGTTTTTGGTTTCTGACATGGGGTATGGCAACATAGTTCTCAGTAGCCATGAACTTTAGGTAGTGGTCTTCCCCACTCAGCTTCCCAAATGCTTAGATTATATGCTCCAGCCACCATGCCTGACCCTCACTCGAAGTCCCATCATCAGTGCAGTTTCTTGACCGACACCACATTTTACCAGCTATCTACAGACATACTGGTTTTTGATATGTTGTGCTACTGCCATCCAGACTTATAACTAACTTCTTTGTATGGCAAATTAATATTCAAAGGGATGGTATTGATTGTTTTGTTCAGTTTGGTTGTAACTTAGTTTGTATAAGACCTATGAATTTCTTAAGTGACATGTATTGGGATTTGTCATATATTAGTTTTAGAGCTTAAAAAACAGGAAAGTGTTTATTGAGCTTATTTTTCACAGATGCATGTTCATAATCAGACGGCCACCTAATCAGGTTCAGGGTCTGTTTTCTGTTCTGTAACACTGAAGATGAAGAGATTCAGATGCATAGTGATTGACAGAAACCAGTTCAGTGAGTGCTGTAGAAATAATCAAGTAGAATCAAGCCAAGAATCACGTTATGTTCCCAGTACACAAAAAAGAAGAAATGTGAAAGATGGGTCAAAGCTAATACTTAGTGACAGCGTGTTCAGTCCTTATTATGATGCTCATTATTGCCTTTTTTGTTTCTGTAGGTTTTTAGCAGAATACCATGATGACTTCTTCCCGGAGTCAGCTTATGTTGCTGCCTGTGAGGCACACTACAGTACCAAGAACCCCAGGGCAATTTATTAAAGTTTCAGTGGTTTTGGAAAAATAGCTACACTTTGTGGCTTTATATTTTAGGTTCCAGGTGAAATGTTAATGAGATGTGGACCTACCCTGGGGGTTCTCTGTCAGAGGAAGGCTCTGTTGTTTGAGTAGCTCATGTACTGTTATTTCTGTTAAAAATTATTTTCTGAGCTCTGCATGGATGTCCATGCCTATGGGGGGGGTCAGTTTAATTAATGAAGTAATTAATGATTTTTGAAATGTAATGATTACTTCCTGGGTGCCTGAACGTATTCCAAAGCAACACTGCTGCACAAGCTGTGTGTGCTAGCAGGATAAAAGCAGCCATAGCTGTGTTCACAGGGAAACGTTCATGAACGTATACTAGGTTAAACATTGTTCTGGTAGCCATTGCAGTTGGTTGTTAGCAAGAGCCACATTGTTTGAATATTTGTTAATGTTAAACAAAATGGTTTTGAAAACTGTTTTCTGTTCAACAGATCTTAGTTTGTGCTTGGAAGCCACAAAGTACTATGAAAGTATTTTAGAGGAAATTGATATTGATGGCAAAGGAGAATTTGCAGCTATGTGTTGCTTGTAGCAGTTCCCTTTCTCAGAAACATTATTTTTGTTGCTCTAAATAAAGTGTTGCCTGTCTTGTTTGAGATTTTACAGCCATACTCTGCTATGTAATGTTATAGTTCCTTTTCTATAAAATGTTATTTTGGGTGATCTAAATAAAGCTTTGCCAGTTTTGTTTGAAAGAAGCAAGAGAAGCTTTGCTCTGGCCTTCCCTGTTCTTTTTATTGCAGGGCAACTGTGGGTAACCTTCCCTCACAACTTCTGTTTCCATTTGTTTTCCCTTTGTACCTTTTTGTCCCTCCCTCTTTTGCTTTGGCCTCTCTTTGCATTGTGACAATTAGTGATTATGAGAAGTCACTGTGACTGTGTGCCAACTTGTGGCTGTTTGGGCCCTAATGGGCCCAACATAGATTTATGCTTCTTTAAGTTTACTAGCTGACATGCTCTGCAGTCGTTCTTGGAACTCTCATGTTACTCTCTCTTATGCCTTCCCCCTCTATGGTTTAGAGAGGTCTAAATGACTGGAAAGGATACTGATGTCACGAAATCATTAAACATAGCACTTGTCTTCTCTTATGGCTCAGCTCAGTTGACTTTAATTTCCAAAGGCCATTGGTCATGAATAAAAGGAGCCACAAGGACTTTTAGTTACAAATGGTTCCATTAAAGTGCCTTGTGCATCCCTAACTACTAAGATTCACTACCTCCAGATTGCCTGAGTGTAGACATTTTCCTTTCTGCATTTAGTTGCTAACACAGATTCAGGTTTGTGGGGACTGATTGGGCCAGCCTTCAAGGTCTTGATAGATGTGATTGTTAATCTTAAATGTCAATGTGATGGCTTTAGAATCACTGTGGAAACACACTTCTGGGTGTGTCTATGATACCATTTCAGAAGAGTTTTAACTGAAGAGGAAAGACCCATCTTGAATACTACCAGCACCATGCAATGGACTGGGGTCTCAGATGCAGTGAAAAGGGGCAAAGTAAGTGAGATGCCGGCACTCATTTCTTTCTGCTTCCTGACTACATGCATACATGTGTAATACATAAGCATTGCCAGTGGCTTCATGTTCCTGCTGCCATGCCTTCTCTGCCATGATGGACTGGACCAACAAACTGTGAGCCAAAATAAACCCTTTTCTCTGGCACATTGTCACAGCAAGCACAAAAGTAGCTGATACAGAACATTGGTATTGAGAAGTGAGCCTGTTGTGTTAATCCTGACCATGTGGGTCATAGGCATTTGGAACAGGTTTGAAGCTAAGAGTTTGGAACTTTGAGCCAGAAAAGTCTTAGAGTGCTGTAAGCAGTTTAATGGGCTATTCTGGTGCTGTTTTCAAAAACTCAAATGCCAAGACAAGCATGGACAGTGGAGATCTGCCTCATAGGGTTTTGGAGAGGAAAAGAGACTTGAGAATTGAGCTACAGGCCAGTTTTGTAATGATCTGGCAAAGAAGCCCAGTGTCAGTCCATGACATCAGTGCCGTGTGCTTGGAACTTGAGTGAGGCTAGATTGTAAAGTAATGGACTCATTTGCTTGGTGGAAAAAATCTGAGAATAGGTTAGCATTTGGACTCTGTCATGTTTGCTGACTGCTGCTGTCATCCAGGTCTCAAGTGAGGGAAAGCACAAATGGGGCAAGAGAAGACAGATGTGCCAGCTTGTTGGGGAAGGGAATGAGTTTATAGGTGCAACAAAGCAGATTCAGAGAAAGCAACTGGACTAGTTAAAAACGTTTAGCAGCATTAAGGAGAAACCTTGTGCTCTCTATTAGACATTAGGGAAGGTACTCTGAAAGCAAGATGCCACCCAATAAACACTCCATTTTGTGAAAATATGAATTCATTTGAAAGGAGAAAGCCTAAACTAAGAATATTGCTGAAGGATGTTTTGTTTTGTTTTGTTTTGTTTTTTTAACTTCTGGAAAGCAATTAAACAGGAAAGCCTTTCCCCCTGATCTATATAGAAGTGCCAGTATACCCATATATGGAGGCCAGGTCACAGCAGAACTTTGCAGTGTCATCCACATGGTACTGGCACACAGGTGGGAAAGATGCAAGACTGAAGGTGTTATAAAGACTTATGAGTCCCAGGAGGCACCGATACCAGGCGATGTGTAGCAGAGTTGGGAGTCTCAGTAAGTGAGCCCTGAGAAGCCATTATGTGAAGATGTGAATGTGGAGTCTAAGCTTCAGTGTGGAGCGCAGGATGGTGGAGGTGCCAGAACTGTGGGGCATCACCGGAGGGAAGCTGCAAGCATGGAGTGGAGACAGCCCAAGACAGAAGCTATGTGTGCTGAGTGGCAGAGCTGGAGAGCTGGGATTAACAAAGCCCTTTGAAACCCGTGTGATTCCATCATGAGCTCCAGATGCTGGACATAGAGTTGCAGGATTTGGTGTTCGCCCTGCTGGGTGTTGGTCTTTCTTTGGTCTCATCTTTCCTTGTTGTTCTGCCCATTCTTCCATTTGGGAATGGGGATGTTTATTCATTGTCATTGCATATTGAAACTTTGTAAGTTGTTGCTTTTCTAGAAGTTTACAAATGAGAGATTGCCTTGAGTCTCAGATAAGACTTTGAACGGACCGTTAAACACTGCTGGGAATGCTAAAGTCTGTGGCCACTTTTAGAAAAGGACTAAGTGCATTTTGAATTATGAGATGAAAATGAGAGTTTAGGGGCCAGAGGTTGAATGCTATGATGTTAGTGATGTGTTTGGGTATCAGGTTGGCCAGGGGTAGGTTAGCAATGGTTAATCTTGATTGTCAACTTGGTTGGATTCACAATCACCCTGGAAACACACCTGTGGATGTCTCTATGAAGGTGCTTCCAAAGAAGTTGAACTGAAGAGGAAAGACCCACTGTAAATGTGGGTGGCACCATTCCGTGAGTTGGGGGTCTCAGACTGAATAAAAAGGAGAGAGCAGAACACCAAAATTCATCTCTCTCCACTCCCTGACTGTGGACCTTGCTGCCATGACTTCCCCCATCATGATGGACTGTATCCCTTCAAACTGTAAACCAAAATAAACTCTTCCTTCCTTAAGCTGCTTTTGTCAGGCATTTTGTTACAGTAATGAGTCGGGGAAGCCCTAATACAATAGGATTCCTCTTTATTTTGTGTGGTTCTGGCTTAATGCTTGTGCACCTGCAGCATGCTCACTGCCTTCACTGCCGAACTCTTTGCTACCGGTAGATCCAGGAAGGGAGTAGTCAGTGGCTTCAGTTTTGTGCCCACTTTTGACTGTGCCAGTCTCCAGTGGTTAGTTCTGATCCAGTTGTCACACAGATGGCCCTGTTTAAATTAAATGGGCCCCCAAACAAACTCAAAGGTTATGAATCTGGGAAAGAAATTGGTGCGGATATGTGTGGTGTGTGTGTGTGACAGGGATTGGAGATGTGGTAGGGGTAATTGGAATACATTATACCCATGTAAGCAATTGTCAAAATACAAAAGTAAATTTTTTAAAAAGGTGTAGTCATATATGTTTATAATGTAAGCACTGAGGAGGTGAAGAATGGAGGATCAGGAGTTCAACATCTATGGTGTGAATTATGGACAGCCTGGGCTACATGAACCTCAGTCTCAAGGGATGGGGGAAGCAATGTGAGGGCAGGGAGAAACAGGCTGTGCAAGTTAGAGTATGTGACAATTTTTTTTTAAAGTAAGAAGTGGGCTACATTGAATTCAATCAATGTGTGGAATGCTTGCCTAGCGTGTATGTGTGTGCAGCGTCTTTCAGTGGATTGGCTGCAAAGTCTGGGATATGTGGCCTAACCAGCCTCACTCCCTCAGAAAAGTGACAGTGCATCAACTGGGAGGTTGTTCCAGATAATTTTATCCAGATTACACATGTGACAAACATGTATCACATGTGGAGAACCTTTGGTTACTTCTTTTATCAGAAGGTGAGTACAGAGAAGGGAGGAGATGAGGAGATGGCTCAGTCAATAGTTTCTGTTGCACAAACATGATGGCATCAGTTCAGAGCCCCTGACACTCCTATGAAAGATGAGGGTAGTGTAATGAGTGGCAGATGTCCATAATCATAAGGCAAGCTTGTCCTAGAGCCTTATGACAATTAAGCAAGGGGTTCAGTGGTTCAAAGCATACAATGGAAAGCAATTTAGGAAGACACCTGACACCAACATTTGACTTCCATACGCACATGCACTCTACCCCAGGAACCTTAGAGTGCTGGTGGTCACACTTTGTGGCTGTGTTACAATATGAGTGCAGCCTTATCAAGGAAGGCAGTGGGGTCCTAGAATCTATACTTCCAAGGAGTGTCAGGGCTGCTGACGCTGCTGGTCGTCAGACCACATCTTGAACAGGGCAGCTATCAAATGCCATGGGAGGATGTAGGTCGGGATAGATGTAGGCTATCAGAGATGAGACTGGGAATGAGATTCAGATGTAGATAGCCTTGTGCACAAACTTTTTGCATGCTGTTTTTTTTCCTCTAAGGACAGCTGCATGAGGAAGATATATTTTACATAATCAAGGAAATAGATTAGTTAGGAGCCAAAGTAGAATTCAAACTAAGATCTGTCCTGATGCTAAAATTAAGTTACGTCAATTGTTTCAAGTGGAGAAAACACAATAGTGAAGAGTGTCGGCCAGAGGATAGTTGAGAGGGTGAAGGATAAATTCTGCATCTTCTCCATCTTTCCCACATGTCCTCCAGGGCTCTTACTGCTTGAAACTGCCATCTGCTTGGCCATTTGCTTCAATCTCCTCTTAAAGAAATAGCCCCCCCCCCTTTTTTTTAAACGTAGGCTTTATTGTTTGCTCAGTTAAAAAGCAAAATATCCATTTTCCCAATTCTAAAATTGGAGGGCTGGTTGCAAAAGAAATAGATTGCATTTGTTATTTGTGCCTGAGAAGAGAATATTTTAATATATCATACTTATTTATATTGTGTATATGTGCATGAGTGTGTGTGTGTGTTTATGTGCCCACGAGCGTGTGTGCTCACACACGTTCATGGTCACAGGATAACTTTTTGGAATCTTTTCTCTTTCCTTCATGTGTACTCCTCGCATTGAATTTAGCTCATTAGGTCTGATAACAATAGCTTTTACCCCTCTGGGCTTTTTCACCAACCTGCATATTCGAAAATTTTATTGATATTTGCCTTCCCAGAAGGTACCAGAGTATTTCTGCATCCAAATCCTTTGTTACATGGGGTTTAGTAAGAACTGTGACAATAAGTGCTAAATGAACCGAGTTGATGTAGGTAGATTGAGAATGTTGGGAAATAGATGCCTCAAGTCCAACAGGTGGAACTTGTCGTATTAGGAAATACTTTAAAACAGCTGTTATAATGGTAGTTCTGTGGTATTTTGCTTGTTTGTTTTTGAGTCAGTGTCTTGTGTAGTTCAAGCTGGCGTCAAACTTACTAAGTACATGAAGATGACCTTGAACTTCTAGTCCTCTTGAGTGCTTGGACTGTAGGCATGCACCACCATTGCCTGGTTTATGTAGTGTTGGGAGTCAAACCCAGAACACTGTGCTTGCTAAATAAACACCCTACAGACTGGGCACTATTTCCAGACTCATGGCTCCTGATTTCTGTCCATCAACAACATGATCTGTCTAAACTGGCCCAGAAGTGGAATATTGGATTTTTATTGAAGTATTTTTATCCTTTTTATTCATTTTTATGAACGTAACAGTTGCCAACAAACTGTTCTGAATGCCAATTAATATATTATCAGTTAATAGACACCATTCCCAAGGCCAACATTAATACTTAAAAATAGTTATAGTTATATAGAGCAGCAACATTCATTCATATATTGAAACTTACTGGCTGACTTGTTGCCTCTGACTTTACTATGCTCCAGCCACATAGACCTCTGCACACTTCTGCCTCGAGGACACTGTCTTGGCTTTCCTCTTAGCATGAATGTTCTTGCCCCAGACATCTACACGTCACACTCCCTTACTACCTTCTGATTTTTGTTCCTATGTCATTACATTCTCCCTCTCTTCATCCCCATAGCAGTCTTATGGTTATAATCCACGTTATCCTTCAACAACCTCAGAGAGTAGCTTCAAAACCTGCCAATCATAGCATCCTTCCAATGTAGACTGATGATAGGTGTGTTTTATTCCATGCCACAGAGCAAAGGATGGCAGGAGCCTGCATGACAGACAGGCTCTAAATCCTCCACAAAACTCTCTAGAGCTGTGCTTCTATATTCTAAAATATATAGAATATTCAATATTCTAGAGCTGTGGGAATTTCTTTAAATTATTCTCTATTTCTTTTCCAGCAAGCAGGAACTGACCACAAGGTAGCATGGAAACACTGGAGAATGCTATTTATTGTATGAGTCAGGACAAAGGAAATACAGAGGTGTGTCTTCCATGAGATGTCAGAATGCACAGTTCCCAGCTTACTGCAGGTTAGCTTATAGTTTCTCAGCTTTCTCATGCTGGGAAAGTAATATGAATTCAGTTGATGCTGTACTTGAAAGTTTGACCTTTTCCTGGGATATATATATATATAGTACGATTCTCTCCTTGGAGGACTTTGAGAACTGTGGGTTGGAATGTGGCTCTCCACAACCCTAGTTCACTTTTAAAGTGTGTGTGTGTGTTCACATGTAAGGGTGCATGTGTTCACATGTCATGGTGCATATGGTGATTAAAGGACAACCACTAGTGTTGGCATATGCCTTGCCCCTTGAGACAGTACTTGTATTTGATCTCCATATGTTAGGCTATTTAACTGTTAAGCTTCTAATAAGTTCCCTGTCTCTGTTTCTCATCTCCTGGTGCTAGGTTATAGATACAGGCTGATATGTCTGTTTATATAGCTTCTGAAGATCTGAACTTGTGCCTTCATACTTGTGAGGTAAGTGCTTTCTTTATTCACTGAGGCATCTTCCCAGCCTTCATACTTCCTTCTGTTTATTTTAAAATTTAGTTTTCTTCATTTTACTTGATGTGTGTATTTTCACCTAAATGTATATATGCACCACATTCATGCCTGGTGCCTGAGGAAGCCAGAAGATGGTGTCAGCTTTGCTTAGAATTGAAGTTACAGATGGTTGTGAGCTACCTACCATTTGGGAACTGGCAATCCAACCTGGAATCAAGAGCAGCAAGTTCTCTTAATGACTGAGCCAACTCTCCAACCCTATGGATGTTTCCTTTCATTAACTGATGTCTAAAAAGGATAGAGCTTGGAGAAGGATCTAGGGAGCTATGGCTCAGTGGGATGCCAGAGATTTCTGATGAGGAGAAGAAGAGCAATGGGGACTGCTTCCAGAAAAGAAAAGGCTGGAAAGGGGTTGAGTGCTCAATCAATTTCCTCAGGAGCTTCTACCCATGTCTGCCCCTAGCTCAGCACTCCTAACTGATTTGTGCCAAGCTTCTGCGGCAGTGAGTTACTAGGTTGAATCTTGTTCCCAGGTGGGTCAGGAAAGAACAAGGATATGTGAAGAACTGGTAACATTGGGTTCCTGCTTCTTTCCCTCATCCAAAAAAATCAAACAAAAGGTCACACATTATACTGTGCAATTCCAGTTACATGAAATATCCAGAACAAGTGAGGTAGTGGTTGTTCATGGTGGGAAGGGAGGAAACAGTAAGAGGTATACAGATTGTTTAGAATGATGGGACTTCCTGGAATCAGTTGTACAATATTACTTTAACTAGGCAAAGATGTGTTACATTTGTTTATGCTGCAGAATATTTAACTGTGTAAAGGTGTGTTAGTTTTGTTTATATTGCATTTGTTTAACAATATAAGGATGTGTGTTTAATTATGTAAAGATATATTGCATCTCTTTCATCTTGCCGCCTAAGGCACCTAGTTAGTCTAATGAAGAGCTGAACAGCCAATAGCTGGGCAGAGGGAAAGAATAGGCAGGGCCGCAAGCAGACAGAATAAAGAGGAGGAGAAATCTAGACTTCACAAGAATGAACAAGGAAGAACAAGAGAAGAAGGAGCAGAGAAAGAGAGACAGGGCCAGAGCAAGAAGCCAGGAAGAAACCAGACAGACAGGAGAAGCAGGAAAAGTAAGATATGC